TTAGTAAAATTACATAGGTTTCAGGTGTACAATTCTATAATACATCATCTATATATCACATTGTGTGCTCACCACCCAGAGTCAGTTCTCCTTCCATCACCATATATTTGACCCCCTTTACCTTCATCTACCATCTCCCTCCCCACTTACCCTCTGATAACCACTAAACTAAAGTCTGTGTCTATGAATTTTTGTTTCTTTGTTTGTTTGTTTGTCTTGTTCATTTGTTGTGTTCGGTTTTATATCCCACTGATATGTGGGATTTAAAGTCTTTTTGTTGACTCAAGCTAAGAATGGTGGGTGGAGCTGCTGCCCTGACCCATTTTATTATCCACTCCCACTTTGGGCTGAAGCTCTTTAAATCATCCCTGTCCAGCAGACATCTAAGCATATTATTTTCTTTCTTCTTCGTACTTAGCTGTTCCTACTTCACATTTCCAGAGCTTTGGTGAAAATCTTGTCTTCCAAGAAACTATTCAAATATGAAAGATAATTTTTTTAAAAAGCAGAATTCCCTAGACCATCTTCTCAGCTTTTTCGGTTTTCAGGACTTTGTGCCTATTAATGGCAAGTTGGTGCCAAATAGCAAAGATATAAATTTCTAAAGGTCAGGAAATGCGTTCTAACCAATAAAGATCTTACTAACATCCAGTGACCTGTATCAGGACAATGCACTAATACTCCATGGAGACTGATAATATTTTAATAAGGAAAAATGCTTGAACATATTTAGAGATTGAATAAGTGGATTGCGGTGACAGGGCTCGTGTGTGTGTGTGTGTGTGTGTGTGTGTGTGTGTGTGTGTGTGTGTTTGTGTGTACACGCATCTGGGAGTGAGGAAGATGAGAGATGGTATGATCCTTCTGTCATGTATAAGAGGTCCTTTTCATTGACGTTGGGCTTGCTTTAATCTATGTCTTTCTGGACCTGACTGCCCCTGACACATTAAGAAAATTGAGACAGTTGCTAGAATCTCCTGGCCTTTCATGTCTGGCTTAGACCTGACAAGAGGTTGGTTGTCCCCTGTGTTGAGCCTTAGTCTTTTCTCTTGGTCAGAGTTTTGTATTTGACCTTCATCTGCCTCCAAACAGACTTGGACCCAGACCCACCTCTCACCGTCAGTTGCAGAAGGGGCTAGACAGACTTCATTGCATGCACCGTTTCCCTCCTGTCCTAAAATTTAACAGCCTTCCTCTTTAAGTAACTTACAATTGAACTTTCTTGTCCACCTAATTTAGATTGTATTAGGCCCTACGGGCAGGAACCAATCTTTTCAGATAGATGGTGGTACCATAAATATCCAGCAAATAAAGACAAGCTTTCAATTGCATTGTGTTTATATCTCCCAGTCTGTTTGCTAAGTCGCCAGTGATGCTTACAGGAAAAAGGAAAACCTTACATTTTACCTGTTTGAAGGAAAATTTAAGCTACAGCTAAGAAGTCAACATGAGAAGGTATTAGAATATATATGCACGTATGGATTTGATTGCAGGGCAACTGATCTACACTTTAATAAGCAACAAATAAAGGGCCGGCCGAGTGGCTCAGTTGCTTAAGAGCCTGCTCAAAAGTGCGAGCTCTGAGCAACAGTGGTTCGATGCCCGGCCCGAGCTGGGCTGCCGCTGAGCTGCCAACATGTGGCAGGATGGCTCAGCTAAAAAAAAAAAAATAAGCAACAAATATATAGAGAATTCTCTCTTCTCCTTCCTAATACCTTAGGACCCCAGACCCTCCTACATGTCCTTACTGAAGGAATATATAAATACATTATATATACACTCATTATATTAGGGGTCACTTAATTTTTTTTTCCCATTATGTCATCACTTCATGTGGGATTCTCAAATAACCACAAGTTCTGTTGAACTGGAACTGTAATGATGATTGCATTTGGGGTGAGAATACACAGCATATAGGAAAGAAACACTAATTGGAGAAACAGCAAACAAAGAATGCAGACTTTAAGTGACATTTGGAATCTAAATCAAAATGACATCCTAAAAGGAGCTGGAGAGGGGACCCTGCTGGTCCTGTGATTGCTGCTGCTGCTATTAGAAGGCATGCTATGTATACAGCCCAGCACACGCTGCTGCCGTTGGGGGAGCCAATTTAGGATTTTCTTCAGTAGCTGTAATTTAAGAGTAAGGACATGGGGATTTGAAGCTGAGCTCTCCACAAACATATAACCAGGAGATTTCTACCCACATTGCAGAACCTTTGGGCTCACACCACAGCTTTTCTATTCTCTCTCGTCCTTTTTCAATTAGAGAGCAGAGCGAGTAGAAGGATATGGTCACCCACCAGCCCTATCTGAAAATGATCTGCTCTAGCCTCCTGTGTTAGCTTTCTGAGTTCTGCTCCCCAGAGAGAGACTGGTAACCAGGCGTTTCCAAGCACTGATTGAAGTTCATTATCACCAAAGTGGTTCTTTAGCTCAATTTTATCTACCCCACTTCACAGATGGCCAAATGAAGGTCCAGTGAGGTTAAATAGCTGGCACAGTCTCCTGGTGACTGAATTTCAAGGTCCTTGAACTGGAGATCAAGGTCTGCCCTTTTTACACCAGAAGCCATTTTTCTCTCCCTCATCAAAATATTTTGAGAGGATAAAAATTAAGTGTAAGATGTGGTATAAGTTAAGGACTCTGAATAAAATGCCATACAGAATCCACACGAGATCAGTTTTCATCAAACTGTTGAAAACAAGCTCTTCTGACTGGCTAACACTGGAATGAAACTTTGTTTTTTTCCTATCTTCAGAAACTCTTGACCATTTTCCTGGAATGCTTCACATCTAAATAATATTTTATATTGCTCTGACAGTTTTAACCCTCCCCTCCATTATTTTAGTCTTACCATGAGAAAAGGGAAGACAAATTTACCCCTCACAGCTAGAAACCTGTTGAGTGCCATTCAGTGCAGTAAGGCAGGGATGTGGGTGTCCTGCCTGCTTGTGCCTTGATGATAATGAACTGAATACTCTCAGGAACTTCACATCATTTGCTCTTGTTACCTCACCTACAAAATGAGGTCCCAACTTACAGAGTTCTTTGAAGGTTAAAATCATGCAAATGACTGAGCAGTACTGGCATGCACTAAGTGTCTGTTCAATGTTAGCTATTATCTTTTGTTTAAAACTGTTCATATCAACAATGAATCTTTAGTGCAATGCAGTGGGAAGAGTGTAAGGTTAGAGCTAACCCAGAAATTTCAGTTTTAGTAGTAGGCCTGCCACTGAGTGCTCGTTTGCATAATTCTGGAAGACCTTCTTCCTCTCATTAACGCGGGTACCAATACTCACTCAGTCTTCCCCAATTTATAGGAAGGATCAACTATGATGGAAGTTTTCAAGTACATTTTAAAACATGAAAAATCAATCCATGCAAGTGTGAGCCATTAATTCAGTCATTCTCATCATGAAGTCACTGCTGTGTGAGTTCACTGCCATCATACGGGAGGGTGCGAGTCATGGTAGAAAGATTCTAGTGAATTTTGACTTCAGACAGAATGGGGTTCAATCCCTTTTCTGCCACTGGTTTGCTTTGAGGCCTTGGGAAGGGCATTAACTTCTCGGAGTCTTGATTTCCACATTTGTTCAGCAGGGTTAATAGAACCTTTTGAAATGGAGGTTCCCATAACAGCTGGGTTAGGTCTAAGGCTCAGACATCTCAGAATGTGGGTATGGACAACACTCTCTCTGTTTTCTGTCTGCTTCCTCCAGTTGCATGAGACAGAAAGAACACCTGGATCCACTCTATAACTGGGGTTTAAATATACTCAGACATGATTTTCTGACTGGATCAGTATGGATGGAAGTCAGATTATAGGAAATGAATATTGAATCCTTAAGAGAGGAAATTTTTAGTAAGTGAGGAAAACCACGACTAAGCACACCTCAGCACCGAAAAGAGGAGGCTTAACACACCTTTAATTATCCTGAAATGAAATTCAGAGATAATAGAACCAACTTACACACATAATGTTTTTTAAAAATCAATAAAATGGCTTAACTATAATAGGAAAGAGAAATAAAAAGGGAAATAATTTATAATAAGATCATTTTTCTCTTCAGAAACTAATAGCCGGGAGGTGATAACGCTGGAAGATTAAATGAAATAAGCAGAAGCTTGCCCCCTATATAGAATCCCAACCTTGCCACCAACAAGTCTGTAATATTGGCAACTCACACATCACGAGTAGCGTTGCCATTGGTGATGTAATTTTCTGAAATAAATAAATCCTGAAGATGTTCTGAACAACATGAAATGTGATGTTCTTTCAACGTATACAGTAGTTGCAGTCTTAGAGAATTCGGTGTACAGGATATTAACACTATGCAAAAGATATGTATCATGCTGATAAAAACATTTATTTCCCAGGCTTAGATAATGATAAATAGGCTTTTTTCATCTAATAAATGTCTAGGTGGACATTCAAAAGTTCGATGGTTACTAGATAATTCCTTTTCATCAGGACGGTCCCACACATCACAGGATTCATAGTATTTCTGCCCCAATCCACTAAGCGCTCCCATGATCATTGTAATAACCAGAACAGTGCTCCCATGACCATAAACTTCACAAACACTCCCTAGGGGCTGGTACCACACCCATTGAGAACCATCATCCCAATGAATCAGTGCAATCTTAACAAAATCATAAAACCATCATAATCAAGTCACTTCATAATCTATCCCTTCCCTTTGGCTCCCGTCCCATCCTAAAACCCCTAAACCACATTCCCTCTTTCTGTCTCTACTTTTAAATCAGAATATCATTTTGGATTATACTCTGACCACATTGAGATTCATATTTGGCAAGAATGCTATGCCTTTCCTCTAAATCATTCATCCTTAATTATCCATGGGTATCAGAAACCCATTCCTCAGTAATTTTAGTCCCATTCATAGAGGAGAAGACTGAGCAAATGAATGCAGGTAACTCACCCAAGGTCATGCCACAACCTGTCTGCAGAGACTGACTAGAATCTGTGTCTTTCAGGTCTGACCACTGACTCCCTTATCCTTCCGCTTCCCTCATAGACATGTGACTTCATTAGCCTTTTTGACAAGGAATGGTGGGAGGGCAGGTAAGATTTCAATTGCTCTGTTTTGCTCGTTGCTAACTCCTCTTGTAAGAAATGAGTGGTAGAGGAGTTCCCTAAATGGGTTTCCACTCATGCAAGCTCTTCCCCACTCTCATTTGCATGATTAATGGCAGCCTGGCTCTTAGAGAACTGCTGGCCACCACCAAGGCTGCTGTTCCATTGAGAGCAAATCTGCCATTGAACCTGCTCAAGTGTCTGAGCGGACCATGAACACGCCCACTGAGACATGATACAGCAGGGTCTGGCCACAGGCTCATTCAGCCAGGGGGACAAGCTCCCTCCTTGACAGAGATGTGGCAGGGAGGGTAATAAAAAGTAATGATCTGGAAGAGAGCATGCTGTTGCCTTCTGAGGGTCAAGTCAGTACAATTTGTGCAAGGTCCTGACATTTTCACTCTTTTTGTAGTACAGAAATACTGAACTAAAAAGATACAGTGCCAAAAGGAAAAAAAAGAAAGAAAGAAAAGACACAAACCAGGGTCACTTCAAACGCTTAAAATAGATCCCGTATGAAGCATCCCAATCTATCATGAAGATTGCTTTTCAGAGCAAGAGAGGCAGCTTGTGGGGACTGCCACACAGTGCCACCTCTGTGAGTGACAATGACCCGCGCTTCTTAATCACTGTGGGCCATCCTCGTGAGCAGCTATATATCAGCTCTCAGTTTTGGAAAAGCCATTTTCCAGGGAGGCAGGTGGGTTCTTGCTTGTTCTGATAAAAAGACCTATCATTTCGTGGAGTGATTTAAAGGATTTATTCTGTGTTTTCAGGAGAAGGGCACAGTGCGCATGTGGGAATGCACATCAAGCCATAGGTAAAGAAGACAGCAGTTTGTAAAAGCATTTTCAAAGCTTCCCAACGACTGATGTATTCCTGAAGGTTCTGAAAATAGTAAGTGGAACTCTGCAGTCTCCAAATTGCAATGCATGTAGCTGGAACCTCCTAGATAGAAAAGGAGTCTTGTAAAGGCTTGACTGCAGCCTATACTCAGATATTATCACCTAGATGGTAGCCTAGCACCTGAGAGCCAATAAAACATGCTATTTACAACTTTGGGAAAGTTAAAGAATCTCTTCACTTGTTTCCCTAACTTTGCTCATACCTATTTCAAAAGATTATTGGGAGAATTGTAGAAGTTACAAGTGGCTGGCAAGTGGGCAGCATTATGTAGTAAGCACCAGAAGAGCTAAGACACCATTAGAAGCTGGTAGAGGGAGACAGGGTAGAAATATGGCTTCATACATTTTCATTTGAGGAGTACAAAGAAGTCCTACCTACCCCCAAAAGCTCCCCAGTTGGGGTTGTTATTATCATTGATGTTGTTAATACCTTCTCTTTCCTTAGTGACTTCTAGCTTACAAAGCCCTCGTTTTTATCTGATTTAACCTGCCCCAAAATTCCATGAAGTTACCTATGGTGATACTATTAGGTAAAAATCTGCAGCCTTGGGCCGACCGAGTGGCTCTGTTGGTTAAGAGCTCGCTCAAGAGTTTGAGCTCTGAGCAACAGCAGTTCGATGCCCGGCCCAAGCTGAGCTGCCACTAAGCTGCCAATAGGTAGCAGGATGGCTCAGGTAAAAAAAAAAAAAATCTGCAGCCTTCTAAATTGAGGCACATGTTTCTAAAAGCCCTCTTTTAAATGTTTCAGTAAGGCCAACATTGGTGGGAGTTTAACGATGACCATGGAAACAGCACATTATGATCAAGATTTATTTCTCTTTTTCTCTTTTCGCTATGCTCATGCTCACCTCGTGAAAAAAAAAAATGGAACTAAGATTGTTTTTTAATCCTATAGGGAATGTTGCAAGGGCAATGATCTTAGAATAACACAGCCTTATTTTTAGCAATGCACATTGTGTTTTTAGGCTGAGGGTCTATTGCACTCAGTCATTCAGCAAATGTTTGTTGGACCCCAAAGCAGACAATGCATCCATCATCAATTGGTATGGCTCAAAAACAAACAAAAACAAAAAAGCAAGTTGGGCTCTTCAAATTCTTATCTCTCTAATTTAGACTTAGGAAAAGGGGAGGCTGAAATTGTTAACAGTGAAGTTGAAGGTAAAAGGAAGCAAGATGGCGGCTTTGGTGGTATGGTAAGCCAAAATCACGGCTAGGCATAATTTTTGAGCAAGCAGAAGATATGCATACATAGAGACTGAAAATGGCAGCTGTAGAAAAAGGAGAACAAAGCAGACATGCAGAAAGATAATGACCTTGAGGAAAGGACATGACTTTCTCTCAGTTCCTGAGCTTTCTGTTCTGATTCCATTCCAGTCTATGGGGATCTTTAGAATAGCCCCCATTTTATTGAGATAACTTGGGTGGAACAAAAGAGGTTTGATTAGGCACTCGATAAATGCTAGTTCCCTTGTCTTATTTACTTATCTATTCAATCATTTGTCTCATCACTTACTCATATACCACTCATTAATTTATGTATTAAGTTAAATAATTCTTGACCACCTACTCTGTGCCAGGTAGGTACATCCTATCTGCTGTATTCGTACTGGGGTTTAACTTGTATCCTTCCAAATAATGTTTGCATTTATCTGGGCTTTAGAGAGGGAGATGAGAAGCACATAGGAGCGACTGTAAGGGTGAGGGAAATATCTAGAGAAGCAGTAGAAGAAGGCCCATCGGATTGCTCGTGGAGGGGGATGCACTCTAATTCTGAGCAGCTCAGCCCAGTTAGCTCCAGCATCAGCCCCAGAGCCCAGAGTACATAAGGCTAAGCTCCGAAATGTCTCCTTCTTTTATGCCTCTCCTAACACGCCCAGCCTCAGAAAGGATGCAAAGGAAGGACCTTCACAACATCTCCCTCTGATCCTGCCCTCTAGGGCTCAGGAAATGTGTCTTTTCCCCTGGCTCGTTCCTAAGACTTTCTCATATACCATCACCAGTCACAGGGATATTGACAGCTCAGACTAAACCAGCTTTAATTCTATGGATTATTTTCCTCTGTCACCTTTAAAAAAAAAAAAAGGAAAAAGAAAAAGTCATTCAGGCTCTCCTTGAGAAGGGTAAAGAACCAGAGGCATACAGAGACAGTGCCAGCAATCTTAGGGAATCGGCTCATCTGAAAAGTTCTGTGAGCTCGGGTTCACATTAGTGCCCAAATGTTAAACAAACAAGCAGATGGCTTGTCTTGTGGATGTTTGTTCATTTCACAGCTCTGCATTGGCCATGTTTTAAAAGAGCTGCTGCTGAGAGCAGAGTGTATGTCACACTTCTACCCTGAAGATGCCTGGAGTCAGCCCATCCAAGCCACACTCTCCATCCTGGTTCTTCAAAGATGGGAGTGGGAGGGGGTGGTCTGTTTTCAGTATTTCCCAAGCCTAACAGATACTGCCTATTTATTCACAATAAGATCACACAAGCTTCCAAAACATCAAACCTCTTCCCTTTTGGCTGGAATGATATTAGCCCAGGCTAGCTGTGTTTGTCATGTCCCAATAACCAGAAACCTGACTTGGCAATCAGGGGCCTCTTTGAGTAATAGCAAATAGGCAATGCAGTCATTGTTTGATTATACAGCTGATGTGTTGGATAGGTGAAAATCTTTCAAATATGGCATGGGAACAATAAAAGGTGAGCTTGGTGGGAAGACAGATGGCAATATATTCTTCCATGACTTTACTGACAGCTTCCCTTCATTCAGGCTGTAAAAAGTACCCTCAAGAGGTTCCCACAGCACACACACTAGGATGTTCCTATAGCGGAAGAGTAAGGTTAATGGGCCAAATTACCGCCCTCCCTCATGCTTTTAAAAGGTCAATTTGTGGCTCCCTCAAGGCTGGGTTGGCTCCCAATCAGATTGCTGAAAGGATGAAATTTTGCTTGAAGAAGAAACAGGATGAAGAAGGGAATATTGTCAGTAGGGAAATTAATTCCTGGCAGACCACGAGGTGTTAAATTCCCTCTTGGATCCTCTGCCTCATATTTGTTTAATGCACCTTGCTGATGGAGCCATAAGGAGCTCAGAGAAACAGCCGGCAATTACCAGCGGGTCCTGCCGTGGAAGGAGCCTTTCCAACACAAGATGGCAGCACAAGCCTGCATTTGAAGCACAGGCTCTCTTTCCCTGCAGTAATATTCCCCCCACCCCAAGAGGATTTTACTCCCGGTGAATTTTAACCAATTGTGTTACCTCTTTTGTCTCCAAAAGGACAGAAATAGGTTTCCTCTTTCCCTCTAATTGGCTTTAAGTTTCCTTTTGTTCAAGCTCTGCTAAAAAGAGAGAGCCCTATTTCAAGGTTTGACCTGCTTGAGATTTCTATTAAGTGGGCCAAATAATTATACCCCGAAGACAAACCTCTTCTCTGAAAACCACACTCAGTGCGTCAGGAGCAATGCTTGTGCTGTGTTAACCCACTGATGGGGTCACAGGGGAGCAGCCGTCTCCCCTGGGGACGTTTTGGCCTTCTATCCCCAAACCAAATTGTTTGTTTATTATGAACAAGAATCAGCGGCTGTTACCATCCTCTCAGGACTGGTTGGCATATTTTAAAAGGTGATAAGTTTGCCTGTTGGCTTCCAGGTCCCATGACTAGATTCTCAATTGCTCCTTTTTTTTTTTTTTCTCAAATAATAACATCACCTAATGAGGACAAACAGCCTCAAATGTGTATTCAGTTGTTTTTTCACTAAATAAACAATATTAACTCTTTTCAGAACAGTGGGGAGTCCTCGCTCATGGTGCTCTTTATCTTCCAGACCTTTGTGTATGCAGGTGCATTCTGCTTAAAGCACTTTTGCCTCCTCTCTTCACTTGGCTAATATTACCACATTCTCCAGTTCTCCATCTGTCACTTCCTTTGGTAGGTTTGTCAGTTCCCAAGGCCAAGTTCTAAAGAGATGACCCTCACGTGGCTCCCATAACACCCTAAACTTTCATCATTACAGTCCTAATGTTACATAACAACCGGTGGATGAGTCAGGCCCCTCCCCACCCCCCATCCCAAGAACACAAGCCT